TAGTTATTAAAAAAATTTAAATTTACTTTAAAATCCCTAGTCTTCTTCCCCAACCTCTAAATCTCATTTCTCTCAATTTCTTGTTTCTCTTTTCTTTCTCCATCTTCACCCTCCTCCTCTCCTGTTGCACACACCTCTTTCCTTCCTCTCACTCCTTCCTAAAATATTTGTTAAGGACACCCAACGCCCTTGATTAGATTTAGGTTTGATTTTCATCGTCATCAACCTTTCTCACTTTCTTCTTTCTTCTTCTTCATCTCTCTCTTCCCTTTTGTTTTTCCCCTTTTTTTTTCCCTCTTTTTTTGTTGAGAACCTACCTAAGAGAACTCAATCTAGATTTAGAACCTAGTAGCATTGAACCTAATTTGGGTTCAAGAGGGAGAATCTAATCTAGGTTTTTGAAACCCAAAAGGTAGCTTGTTATCTACCATTTTCTTTTATTTATTTTTTATTTTTTTATTTTTTTCTTAATTTTCTCTGTTAATTAACATAAATCACCAAACATTGAGTTTGATTATGTCTTTGGTGGAATGAGAAGAAAAGGGTGAATTGTTTGAAGAAGGTGAGTTGTTTGGTGAAATTGATTTGTTGGGGGGTGACGAATTATGGTTGATTTTTCTCATTTTATTAAAAGTTTCTCATATTTTAATCTAATTTGATTTCATTTTTAAGGGGTTCTCTTCTCCTATAATAAGGGTTCTTCAATTGATTTTGAATATGGAAAAATTTTTTTTGAACTACTATTGTTTGTTGTGGTTAATTTGAGAAGGGGATTCTTGATTTTTCTTGGGCATTTTTTTATTTTTGATTCGATTGTGATATTACAGAAATAGTAGGTTTAGGGTTTGAAATTTGAGAAGGAAATGAAAAGTGAAACGAAGAACATTGCTATCTTTAGGGAACTTGATTGAAACTGAAAAAAAGTAATAGAAAATTTCATGTGGATCCCACTAAAGGGGAAGTTGAATGGGACAACAATTTGATTTGTTAAAATAAACATGCCATGGTATTAAAATTTTCCTCATTGGATTTACACGTCATTAACATTTAAAAAATTAAGTGATTTTGTGGTAAGATAACATGCTACATGGGCATTCTATTAACGAAAAGACTATTTTGATATTGAAAATGAAAATTTAGAAATAATTTTAATATTTTTTGAAGTTTAGAAACAATTGTAGTACTATTTTAAAAAGTTGAGGGACCAAAATGGTATTTTAACCAAAATCCTATGCCGCGAATTAGAAGGAGAGGGGTTCTGGCAAAAACTCGCAACAATATTCTATGGCCTTGCCTCCTCCTTCCCTCGCCTGTAATGGAAAAGGAAATTCGGAATTCCCAGTTTTTAAACAATTCATACAACAAAGGGAAGCATAATAAAATAAAACGAAAGAAGGGCTTTGTTACTAGCAATTCTCAACATTATGACAGAGACCGTTATTAGATTTCCCCTTTTTTCCATAGTCTCTTCTTCAGTTAAGCTCCAACATACCCTCTGTTGCACCTGACATCCTCCACCCTCCACTCCTTTATTATAACACAACCCCCAAGACAAATCTATTTTGTCGAACCATAACCCCCTTCCTCTTCCTCCTTTTTTCTTTTCGATCATACACCCAGGCTCGATTGGTGTCTGTCTCTCCTCTCCCCCTTGTAGAACCTTCTTTCACACCCATGACATTATTAGAGAAAAAGGAGTTTGGCCTTTTTAAATTGCGTGGATAAAATTGTAATTTGACAAAAAAAAATTTGTTGTATAATTTAAAATGTATTAAATTAGATAACACTAATTATTAAATAAAAATAAACTTATTGATATGAAAATTTTTATATTTTTAATAATTTTTATTTTATACATTAAATTATAAAAATAAATAAACTCATCTAGAAAGGCTAACAAGTAAGCTTGGCATGAAACATGTGTCACCGCGCAGAAAGAAGTTGAGAATTTCCTGAAAAAGAAAAAGTATTTTGGAGAGTAGGAACTTTTGTAAAGCAGTCGGCTTTTTTTTATTTTAATAGGCGGGATCACCATATTTTTGCAGAAAAAGTGACTGTGCCTTTTCCAGAAGTCAATAATTTTGTCTCTTATTGAGAAATCTTTGCTTACTGTGGTTAAAGTTTACATGGTAAATAAAATCCACTGCTCCCATCTACAGGAATTAGCATATATGAGCCTTCGTAGAAAGCATTAGGATGTGAGAGTAAAAGTTAGAACTCTAAAGTCTAAAGGAACGAGTTTTGAATTGTGATGAGTTTGGATGACATAAATTATTAGGTGAGGGTGAATTAATAAAGTTTTTAAATGATGTGCAGGATCCAAATTGATTGCTGATTTTGAAACTCATATTTAAAAAACAACCATTAATAAGTGAGAATGAAAGGGATTTTTTTTTTTTTTTTACTGAAAATGATGAAAGAGTGAATGATTATAAAAGAAAATTTTACTCTGCCATTAAATATGGGCTTCTGTCGAAATTTCTCTAATATTAAATAAGGATTGAGAAAAATTAAGGAATTAAAAATGTCAAGAATATTAATAAAAAATTAAAATTGTTGTTTCCAAAATCTCTCTTTTGACTGCACGGTAGATAAAACTGTGAAGGTGTGTCACTTACTTTGTTCAAAGTGAGAAAGAGAGATTCCCGATAACTTTCACTACTTCCAAGCATGGAACTCGACTGTGAGTTGATGGAAGAACACCGGTTAAATAAATTATGAGATGCGTTTTGGTCAGACGATTGTTGCAGAAATGGGGGTGCATTATTGTATAAAGGTTCATAAATAATTGCCTTGGAAGAATATCAGGGACTTTCCACAACTAGGGGCAAAATGTTAGTTTGCTGATCAAAATAAAAGAGGAAAATAAAGGAAAAGAGAAAAAAAAAAGTGTATGGCGAAAAAACTAAATTGTAGAGTGGAAGCGTGATGTCGTCGCGAAAGCATGAAAGTGTAAAGAATGAAATAAAAGATGAAGTATAAAACAAAACTTAAAAGAAGCTAGAAAGATGAATTTGGAGCAAAATGCAGTAAATTGAATTACAAAAAACTAAATACATCAAATGGAGATGTTCACAATGAAATAACAAAAATCAGAGTTAAAACTAATAGCAGCGTAAAGCTAAAAACTAAATTAGAAAAGTTGTTTGAGAAAATTGAATCTAAACTAAGACATTGCTTGTAAAACTACAATGTAGATAGCACTGGACTAGTTGTATGAGAGGCTGGTCCTTTTGCTTTGTTTCTTCTCTGCATATTTATAGCAATAAACATCCCTTGGCAGTATGTTTAGAGATTTGTGGCAACAATCTTGAATAACCAACGGCAGCGTGATATCTGAAACAAACTGATTAATTTGTTGATGTTACCGATTATTCTCCTAAAAGCTCGCAATAAGGTAACGGTTTTGCTGCCGTTGTGAGAATAATCACTCAATCTTATATGGAAAAATTTACTCAAACTACTTTCAACCAATGAAATTCTTGCCAACATAGATGACACGTGACACCATTTTATTTTTTTTTTCAAAAATGGGTGTAAACAAAAATATTATTAACAAATCATCACATAAAAGAAGTTTATTAAATGTATTTGAATAATTTCATAAAAAAATCTTGATATTTAAAATGTTAGACATTTGAATTTTTTATTATTAAACTAGTTTTTTTTTAGCCCGTGCTTTTGCACGGGATTATTTTATGTTTTTTATATTATTTGTTTAATTCCATAATAATTTTTAATCAAAAAATTCTAAATTGATTTAACTATTAAGAAATTATTAATAAGAATAAATATTTTTTATTTTAAAATTATCTTAAATTAATTATTATTTTTTATTTTTTAAAGTA